TTACAATTTACTTTTAGGCCTCTTTGGTAGTCTATGCTTAATTTCTAAAAGGACTAAATTTTTATAGCTGAATTTAAAAAATACCAACCACTTAGGAAAACCAGAGAATAAACAAATAGTACTACTTCATGGACAGATCCTGAGCCCTTTTATATTTGAAATTGGACTCTTGGTTAATAACACAAGGTTTATACTATATTTTTAAAAGGACTAAATTTGTATAGCTTAATTTGCTAAAAACATGAACATAAATACCAACTAATTAAAAAACAGTTGAGAATAGGACTACCACATGGACAAATCCTTAGCCCTTTCATATTTAATATTGGCCTCTTGATGTAGTAACACAAACTTTATGCTTTATTTTTAAAATGAATATATCTTTTATCGTTTAATTCGCTAAAAACATAAACAAAAATTAAAAAAAAAAAAAAACGGGATAATTGTCGTATAGAACTACTACATGGATAAATCTCGAGCTCTAGTGCTATTTGTTTTAAGCCTCTTTATGTAATGACCCAAAGTTTAAGCTTTATTTGTAAAGAATAGATATTTTATAATTAAATTAGTTTAAAAAAAACTATTAGAAATACCAACTACTTACCCGGAAAATAGGCGAGTAGGATTACTTCATGGACAAATTGCGAGACTTTTTTTCTTTGTGTTCAGACCTCCTCGTGTAATAACACATACTTAATACTTAATTTTTAAAACGAATGACTTTTTAGCTGAATTTGTTAAAAACACGATTAAAAATACCAATTAATTTAAAAAAAAGCCACAGCTCTGACGACAAGTAAGACTGCTGCATGGAATTCCTAAGCCCTACAATTTATTTTTAGGTCTCTTGGTGGTTTATGCTCGTTTTTTTTTTTTAATGAATAGATCTTTTATCGCTTAAATTGCTAAAAATATTGGAAAAACTAGAGAATTGACGAATAGAACTACTACAAAGACAAATCCTGAGCCTTTTACTATTTGTTTCTACGCCTTTTTGTGTAAATACACAAATTTTATTCTTGATTTTTAAAAGGAATAGATCTTTTTATCGCTGCATCTGTTAAAAACACGATCACAAATAACCACTAATTAAAAACTCACATAGGACTATTGCATGGACAAATCCGGACCCCTTTACTCTTTGTTTTTATGCCTCGTTGTGTAATAATACAAATTTTATACTTAATTTGTTAAACGAATACATTTTTATATCTGAACTTGCTGATAACACGATTGGAAATACCAATTAATTAAAAAAGCATTGACGAATCCGACTACTGCATGGCCAAATCCTGAGCCCTTTCCTATGTGTTATCGCCCTCTTGGTGTAATAACACAAAGTTTATGCTTGATTTATAAAAGGACTAAATTTGTCTCGCTGAATTTGTTATTGTTGTATTATTGTATGTTGTAGACTGTACTGACTTTAACCTTTTGACACAAATCTCATATAAAAAGGCCCAAAACTTGTCCGTGCAGTAGACCTCTTTTCTAATTTCTGGTTCTTTGATTCGTATTTTTCATTGTCTTTTTTAACTTATTGTGCTACGGGAATATTAATGTTTTTAACAATCAAATATAAAATCCTATACTCAAGTATAAAAATAAAGCAAAATCAAAAATTAAGGGGCCAAATTTGTCTATGTTGCTGTCCCATTTTTCTTTCACAGTTTTCGTAACCCTTCCTAATGATCGCTTAGTATAGCATGTTTTTTTATATGTAATAAAATAAAAGAAGTTGTCAAGTTGTCAATATGTAGTACATCCTAATCTTCTCTAAAATGTGTAAATCTGACGAGTAACTGTTCTTTAACTGGCAATAACTGCTAGTTAAACTCACGACGTAACGACCTTAGTCTTAAATGTCGCTTGTAACGAACTGGTTGCGACTTTCGCCAAGAATGCTAGGAGTTGCCACGTCGAAAAATCACGGCCCGAGTAGTATTTCGCGCCTGTTCTACAGGGTGTCGCGTTTGAAATCCCGAAGCCGTTGACTTTCGTAAAATTCCACAGGGAAATTGTTTAAATAAAAAAATAATTTTAAAAGAACAGGGGTAAGATTTACCAGTAAGAAAAGGAAAACGCGAATGAATTAAGAAAAAATTATTCTGTCCTGCTTTCCTGTAAAATTGGCAAGACTTGTTTTTCTTTAATCTTCCTACTTTTTTTCCCTACAGATTGCAATCAATCTGTATTTTAAATCAGTAAGCAATCTGACAAACAAATAAACCAGTTGTAGGGGGAATGGGACAGCGATGGTTCTCGACTTCTTGAGTTTATAGGTGGGGAAGCTGGTCGGGTCGGGAGGACGAGTAGGTTTAGGTTAAAGACCTCTTCCTTTCTACTACCGTGTCCTTGGTTTGGACAACTGAGAAAAGTTATTAATAGTAGTTATAAGTCGTTGTAACCAAAGGGGCCGTGGGGTTTTTCGAGATAATCGCCGTTCCCGAACGTTCAAGGGGGCTTTAGAAGCGGGACGAGGCGGACCCACGAATTGAGTGTTACTTTCGTTCATTCGATTCCACCTTCCGTCTTCTGATTCTTGACCTACGCCAATTTTTTTTAATCAATTTTCGAACCGGCCGGCCATTAACTAATCTAAGAAACGAGGGAAAGCAAGAAAACAAAAAGCAACAAGAATAAAAGTCTAGGAAAATGAAAAGCAAACCTTATAAATCTATTACAGCCTTGAAGGGCAACCTGTTCCTAAGAAATCATTACGATGGCTGTCAAATTATTTATTATTTATTTTAAAAAAACAGTCTAGAAATGGAAAGGTTAATTAAACTTGGAGAAAAAACAAAAACACATTTATTTCTATAAGAGAAATTGTAATAAACTGTTCAATCTAATCTATAAAAGTCATGTATCAGGAGCAAGCTCAATTAAAAGTGCAACAAAAGGGGCATTTTATACGTTTACCCACAGTTCTATAATAATAAATATGAATTCAATGTTTATTATTTACTAAAAAAGGTCAATTATAACCAACAAACTATTTATTTATTCTCTTTACAAGAGAAATCGTTAAAACTCTACAGCTCTAACCTCTAAAAATATCAGTAGCACAGCTCGATCAAAAAGGGCCATTTTATACATTTGTACCAAATGTTCAATTTCTTTAACAAAAAACATTTGAAATCAATATTTATTATTTACTAGCAATAGAAAGGTGAATTATAATCAACAAACAATTTTTTTTTATACCTATAATTAGAAAAATTGTAATAGCCTGTACAATTCTAACCTAAAAACTATCAGGAGCAGAGCTTGATCAAAAAGGGACAGTTTAGACATTTGACACACAAAATTAACAGGTCAATTAAAAAACGGTATATTTTATCCATTTGTCCACAGTTCTATAATAATAAATATGAAATCGATATTTATTATTCACTAGGGATAGAATGGTCAATTATAACCAACAAACAATTTATTCCTTTTCAAAAAAGAAACTGTTATTATAAGTTTATTCCTATAATTAGAAAAATTGTAATAGCCTGTACAATTCTAACCTATAAAAGTATCAGGAGCAAAGCTCGATCAAAAAAGGACAGTATATACATTTGCCCACATTTCTGTTTTAAAGCAAATATGAAGTCAATATTTATTATTCACGAGCAACAGAATGGTCAATATAACCAACAAACTATTTATTCCATTTCGAAAAAGAAACTGTTATTATAACTGGTATAACAAATTTATTCCTATAATTAGAGAAATTACAATAACCTGACAAGTCTAACCTATAAAAATAGTAGGAGCAGTGCTCGATCAAAAAGGGACGTTTATACATTTGTCCACATTTCTGCGAAAAATATGAAGTCAATATTTATTATAACCAATTATAACCAACAAACTATTTATTCCTTTTCAAAAAAGAAACTGTTGTAACCTGTACAATTCTAACATATAAAAGTGTCAAGGGCAAGCACATTTAAAAAGAAACATTTTTAGATATTTATCCACATTATTATAACAAAAATAAGAACTCAATATTTATTATTTACTAGCAACAGAAAGGTCAATTGTAACCAACGAACTATTTATTCCTTCTTTTTTTTTAAACTGTTATAACCTGTATAATTCTAACCTATAAAAATCAGGACCAAGCTCATTTAAAAAAAGGACATTTTAAACATTTGTCCACAATACTTAACCTGTACAATCCTAACTAATAAAAGTATCAGGCGCTGTTATATATTAAAAAATTAGCCCAATTTGCCACAATAAAAGTCCGATAACAAAACTAATAATAAAGAAACTCAAGAGCAATAACAAATGGAACAATAGGTTAATTATAAAACTTCAGAAGAATAATTCAACGATAGTGAAATCCAGTTTGATCTCTTGTATTTAATAATTACCTTATTAATTAGACTTCAGTGGATTTCTTCATCTCTCTATCGTGTTCACCTGAGCACAATGTGAACGCATACTTCGGCTTTGATAATTGCGAAAAAAGCAAACGATAAACAATAAACTATCCACTTATTTACTTTTTATTTTTTCCTCTCACACAATCCTTTTGTCTTTCCCGCATATAAATACGCACACATTTATTTTATTTTTTTGTCCAAGGCAGAAGTTGTTGATATTAAGGCGGGGCAGGCCGGGTCACGCTCCGTGACTGTTAATTGCCACGGGGGAGGACAGGGATGATTCAATCTCCGGCCAGAGTTGTGAACGTGGTTCTTCTTTTTTCTCTCTCTCTTTCTTCTTCTTCTTCTTCTTCCTTCTTAGGCAAGTCGTGATCTTGCGGTAACGCTTAAAAACCCCCTTCGGCCTTCCCGGGCTACCGATCGCTGCCGTTCGGCCTAACATGGCCGAACACCCCCGCATATCGGTAGCCGGTTCTTTTTTCCCCTTTAACAGCACTTTCTATTTATTATTAAAATAAAATAATAATAACAATGCGCTTTTAGAAAACGGTCACAATTTCTATTTACACATGTCATTATCTAGCTCTTTAATTGTTATGCTTGTGCGTTTTGTTTCAGGTAAGTGTCTATCCCCTGGCGTACAATTGGAACGTAAGTACATTAAAAACGTCATTAATGGTTAATGCTTATCTAACATTTAAAAAAAAAACAACTAACCATTTTGTGTGTATGCGTACGTACATGCGCACTGAGTGGCGAAAAAGTGGCCACCCTTAATATTTTCAATTATCTCTTAGACAAACCTCCATTGATTATCTTACAAAAATATCTGTCCCGTTTTAAAGGATTAGAGGAACAGACAAAATCCCCCCTGTGTGTTTACAATTGGATTTTGTAAATAAATCTTTGAATAGTCAATCTCTTCTTTGTTGGGTTAAACTTCTTTCCCTCAATCACATTCCGGTGATTTGATTTTTTTTTAAAGTTGTACCATTTTTAAGTTTCAAATTTGTTTAAATGATGGTTGTAAGTTTAAAGATCAATTAAAACCAACATACTATTAATACTTGTTATAAGAGAAATTGTTATAATCTGTACAATTCTGACCTATAAAATTATCAGGAGCAGAGATCGATTCAAAAAGGGACATTTTATATTCTTTTCCATCATTTCTGTAACAAAAAACATTTGTAGTCAATATTTTTTATTTACTAGCAACAGAAAAGTCAATTATAACCTACAAAATATTTATTCTTTCGAAAAAGAAACTGTTATAACCTGTTCGATTCTAACCTATAAAGATATCAAGAACACATTTTACAAATTTGTCGGAATTGCTTTAATTAAAAGAATATGAAGTCAAAAATTTTTTATTTACTAGTAACAGAAAGGTCCATTATAAACAACAAACTATTTATTCCTTTTTAAAAATATAACTGTTATAACCTGTACGATTCTAACCTATAAAGATATGAAGTGCAGAGCTCGATTCAGAAATTGACATTGTATATATTTGTCCACATTTCACCACAAAAAAATTAAGTCAATATTTACTATTTGCGAGCTATAGAAAGGTCAATTATAACCAAGAAACTGTTTATTCCTTTTCGCAAAAGAAGCTGTTATAACCTGTACAATTCTCACCTATAAAAGTATCAAGTGCAGAGCTCGTTTCAGAAACGGACATTTTATATATTTGTCCACATTTCTGCACACAAAAAAATGAAGTCAATATTTATTATTTGCTAGCAATAGAAAGGTCAATTATAACCAAGAAACTGTTTATTCCTTTTCGAAAAAGAAGCTGTTATAACCTGTACAATTCTGACCTATTAAAGTATCCGGTGCAGAGCTCGATTCAAAAATGGACAGTATATTCTTTCCCAGCATTTCTGAAACAAACAAAAATTAATTAATTTAAAAAAATATTAAGTTATTTTAAACGAACGCAGCATAGAATATACACAACGAGCAGAACATAGCAAAGAAGAACTGAAATGGTAACGGGGTCTATTTAACTTTTATTATGTAATTTGTTCAGGTTGTTTTTAAATTTAAGGACTGATTTTTGATACACGGCAAGGAATTTAATTTCAAAAATTCCTATAAGGAAAAAAGAAGTAGCTAATTATTCTCTTGTTCAGGGAAAATATAATACTTTTGTCTAATGTGAAAACTGGTCATTTAATTATAAAAACCGGTATTAACTACTTCTTAACTGTGTTTTAAGGCTGGTAATTCTGATATATTTTGTTGGCTACGATGTTGATTACCTGGGAAAATCAATTCTCGAATCGCAGATGAAAACTCATGTGAAATGAGAACTCGTCTTAATTATTGCCTCGAGCCGTTTTCCCCTCGTTTATTTGATAATTATGGAATCATGAACCGTTCCTTCTCCGAGTGGAAAGTGTATTTTTTCCCCTTTCCTGTGTTCAGTCCGAGCTCGGAACTGGTCCCGGCCGGATTCTGCGCCGCCCCCTCTGTCATTTTGTCGTTCTAATGCAAATCTTTGTCTCGGGTGTTTTTATTCCCTTTTAGTTTTTTTTATGGTGCGCAGATTACAGTGATTTCCGTGGGTGAATTTCGGCCCATATAAGTTTATGTGAGGTGATTCGACTCAAAAACTATACCGGTCCGGTTATCGGCATTCTTAACGCCCCCCTGCTCTCCGCCATGAGGTCTTTTCGTCTTCGTTAAATAAATATTTGGTTAAATCAACAGTGAAACACAGACGCTTTCAGATAATCTAATAACAGGATTAGTTAAACTACGCTGGGAACCAAAAAATTAATTATTTTTCCAAGGCGAGGTGAGTTCGTTTAATGAAACCCTTCAGATTAGCATGATATAAAAAATTTTAACCCTCATAAAATAATACCTTAGAAAAGGATCCTTTCCTTAACGCCAAGAGTTCACTAATTCTCCATAATAATGTTATCATGATGATAAGGATCAAAAGATCGTTAATTTTTCCATTATTATTCCATCATAAATTGTACCAGCATCGACGGACTGCAATTATCACTTTTTTTCTGTCGTAATTCAAACTACATCAGGAGCTTACTTACAGAATTTCCACATTGAAAAGATTTGCTAAATTTTTACCAGGAGCGACGGACTGAAATTATCCCATTTTTTCTGTCAAAATCCAAACTGTATCAAAATCAGCCTATTGAATTTTGTTCCAAATTGAAGAAATTTTGCTAATTTTTATCAGGAGCAGTGGACTGCAATTAGCCTGTCATAATCTACACGATATCAGGAGCTTACTCATTGAATTTCTACATTGAAAACGATTTCCTAAATTTTTACCAGGGGCAACGGATTGAAATTATCCCAATTTTTCTGTCAATATTCAAACTATCTCAAAAGCACATCTATTGACGTTCTTTATCAGGAGCAAGGATGGATATTCCACATTTTTTTAGCCATAATCCAAAATATGTCAAAATCTCACTCATTCCATATTAAGGATCAGGAGATCAGTAATTTTTTCATTACATCCGTATCAGGAGCGGTGGTTCATAAAATAGTACTTGTTGTTTATAGTGTATTCTTTGTTAAAGTTTGGAGCCCATTAATTTTTTTTAAATATTTGTATCACGAGAATTGGATGCAAAAATGGTTCACATCGTTTATAACAAACAAGATTTTAAGAAATGATTAACTTTATTTTTCTACCAAAATTTGTATCAGGAGTTCAGGAGCTCCATATTTTTAAACTAAATTTGCATCCGGAGCAGTGAATCAAAAATGGCTTATTTACAAAAGATACCATACGAAAGGTAAAAAACTCACTAACACTTAACAAACATTTTACTAAATTTATGTCAGGAGTAACAGATTATTACACATTTTATTTAACCCAATCCAAAATATATATGGATTTCATATACTGTTTCCCACTTTATAAACATTTTGCTAAATTTATATCAGGAGCAAGAAGCTGTGATTATTTCAGATTAATTTTAGTTATAATCCAAACTACATCATGAACTCCCATACTCCATTTCCTTTTTACAAACACTTTCTTAAATTTTGTATCAGGAGCAACAGACTTTCTACATATTTTATTTAGACACTATCAAAAATATATCAGAGGCCCACGTATACTTAAAATCCAAAATATATCAGAAGTTCACATATTGCATTCCCATTTTACACACATTTTCCTAAAATTTTTTCAGGAACAACAAACTGTTTCACATTTTATCTAGCCACAATCCAAAATATAGATTGAGCCCACATATTGCATTTCCATTTAACAAACATTTTGCTAAATTTGTATCAGGAATAACAGGCTGTTATTATTCCAAATTAATTTTAGTCATTATCCAAACTACATCACGAACTCGCATACTCCATTTCCATTTAACATTAACCTAAATTTTTATCAGGAGCAACAGACTTATTACACATTTTATTTAGCCCTATTCAAAATATCTCAGGAGCTCACATATTGAATTTCCACTTAACATTTTACTAAATTTGTATCAGGAGCAACAAACTTATTACATATTTTATTTAGTCCTATTCAAAATATATCAGGAGCTCACATATTGCATTTCCATTTAATATTTTACTAAATTTTTATCAGGAGCAACAGACTTATTCCACATTTTTTAGCACAACTCAAAATAAATCAGGAACTCACATATTGAATTTCCAACTAACATTTTACTAAATTTGTGTTAGGAGCAACAGATTTATTACAATTTTATTTAGCCAATGCAAAATATATCAGGAGCTCACATATTGCATTTCCAGTTAACAACCGATTTGATAAACGTGTATCAGGAGTAAAAGGCTCTTATTATTCCACTTACTTTTTATCCATAATCCAAAAATGCATCAGGATCTCACATAATATTGCAATCCCATTTTACAAACTTTTTTCTAAATTTGTATGAGGAGCAACAAGTGGTAATATTTCACATTTTATTTAGCCACAATCCAAAATACAATAGGATCTCACATATGGCAATCCCATTTGATAAACAACAACTAAATCTGGAGCTCACCTAGTGCATATTCTCTCTAAAAATATTTAAAATTGTATACTTCTCTTTTACCTCAATTTCTTTTACACAGAACATACTTATATACAGAACTACAGAGCAGCTCAGTTTCTGTACGATCCCGTTATAAACGTATTGAAGTCTTCTGTTACTTTCAGAAAAATTTATATAATTGTTGATAATTTCAACGTCAAAAAATACAAACTCAGTCGGATTTTTTTTTTCATAGTTTTTCGCTTCCAGCCCGGTAATAGGTGAACAATTTTTGTAATGATGGCGTTCAAACGTTAGAAGTCATCGCTTCTGATGGCCGAAGCCGTTTGGACTAAGTCCCGCCCTAGGGGATGAGGTCCAGGGTAATAAGCCCCCACCGACGCCGTGCAGCAAACCGTTGACGACAGCATCTGGGAGTCCGCCGGCGTCCCTCTAGTAAATGTGTCAAACAAAAAGAAACTGTGTAATGGGAACTTTGGGATTTAACGACTTTTAATCCTCATTCTTACTTTCCCCTCTCCATTAGCCTTCTAAGACCATTATTTAAGGCTGACCTTAAAAACGACCTCAAATCAGTCTTTATTAACGCGGGTTATTTATCGTTTTAATTTTTTTCTAATAAAAAAAGCTCGACTT